GAAATAGACCTCTAGGAAGTTCAGGAAGCTCAGAGAGTCCCAAAGAAGTTGGACCCAAGAAGGAACACACCAAGGCACATCATAATTACATTAGACAAGATTAAAATGAAGGAGAGAATCCTAGAAGCAGCAAGAGAAAAGAGGGCAGTCACCTACAAAGGAGTTCCCATCAGACTGTCAGCTGATTTCTCAAAAGAAACCTTACAGGCAAGAAGGGGCTGGAAAGAAGTATTCCAAGTCATGAAATCCAAAGACCTACAACCAAGATTGCTCTATCCAGCAAAACTTTCATTTAGAATGGAAGGACAGATAAAGTGCTTCTCAGATAAGATCAAATTCAAGGAGTTCATCATCACCAAGCCCTTATTATATGAAATGTTAAAGGGACTTACCTAAGAAAAAGAAGATAAAAAATATGAACACTGAAAGGACAGCAAACCCACAGTTATTGACAACCACACCTAAAACAAGCAAACTAAGAGGACAGCTAGATCAGGAGCAGAACCATAGAAATGAAGATCACATCGAGGGTTAGCAACAGGGGAGTGGGAGAAGGAGAAGAGGGGAGAAGGTACAGAAAATAAGTAGCATAAATGGTAGGTAGAAAATAGATAGGGCGCAGGGCAAGAATAGTATGGGAAATATAGAATCTAAAGAACTCGTGACACATGGACATGAACTAAAGGGGGTGAATGGTGGGGGCGAGGTATGCAGGGTGGAGGGGAATGAATGGGGGGAAATAGGACAACTATAATGGCATAATCAATAAAATATATTAAAAAATAAATGAATACAGTTGCTAATATGCCATAACTTGAAGATTTAAATAAAGAAGAATTTTATATGCATTTTTAAAAATTCTCACCTGAGGATATGTTTATTGATTTTAGAGAGGGAGGAAGAGGGGGAGGAGAGAGAAACGTCCATGTGAGAGAAAAACAGCGATCAGCTGCCTCCCATATTTGCCCTCCTGGACTGGGGTCAAACCTGCAACTTTTTGGTGTATGAAATGACGCTCCAACCAAGCGAACCACCCAGCCAGGGCTCATATGCATATATATATATTTTTTTTTTTAACACAATCTTCAGTCTCATTAGATGTTTGGCTATTGCTATCACATATTATCTAGTTTAAGAAATTAAGACTCTTGTTTTCTTTAAAAAAGTTTCTGAACACATGTACTAAAGTATTTTTAGTATTTACTGTTTATTTTATAAACAGTAAAATTTACTGTTAGTTTATAAACTAATTTGTTTATAAACAAACAATTTAGTACTTTCTGAGCAAAGTACTAAATTGTCATGAGAGGGACTAGAATTATATTGTTTGTTTTATGATGGAGTAAGTACTCAAGGGGGTAAACTAGAGAAGAGACATATTTGATTACTTCCAAGGATTTTACTATTTGGAAGTGTGGAGCATCCTGTCTGTGAACACCATAGTGTGGTCCGAGAGACTGCATGTACACTCCTGAAGTGCTGTGCACAAATGGTAACATCTTTCAGTTTTTAGTTATTTGATATTGAAATATGAAATATTAAAATACCCAATATCCAGTTATTAAATATTTAAGTTATTTCAACAAAGGCCTGTGGAAAGCGGGGACATGATTTTTGCCCAGTGTTCTAAAAGTCAAAGTGAGGATATTTACTGGCGTTTAGGTAAGTTGGTGGGTGTAACTAGGATTCTTTTCAGGTAGCCAAATGTCTTACCATCTAATTAAGGATGTGCATGAATGATATTCCTAATGTCTTTACCTATTGTCTAATGAGACCACAGACAAGGCAATCAATAGCTTGGCAAAATCTTTGGCGAGGATGACTCTGCTGGATGTACTTATAAACCAGGTTAATGTGAAGAGACAACAGGATGTAGATTAAGTGGAGACCCTGTTGGGAGTAGGAAGGTCAGGCCTTAGGCCTCCAAATACATTGCCACATATGTATGCAAAACTTAGGGAAAAGTAAAAAACATTTTCAAATTAAAAAAATATTATTTTGATACCAAAACCTAGTAAAAATTAAAAATAAAAATAAACGAATGTCACTTACGAATTTAAAAATCCTCCCAAGTAGCCCTGGCTGGTGTAGCTCAGTGGATTGAGCGCGGGCCTGCGAACCAGACAATTGCAGTTCGATTCCCAGACAGGGCACATACTGGGGTTGCAGGCAGGTTCCCTGCAGGCCAGTTCCCAGCAGGGGACACACGAAAGGCAACCGTACATTGACGTTTCTCTCCCTCTGTCCTTCCCTTCCCCTCTAAAGATAAATAAATAAAATCTTAAAAAAAAAAAATCCCCCCAAGTAGGTGATATAATCAAAATAGTACATTAACTGAGAAAGACTTAATCCAGTAATTCAAGGATAGTTTAATAGTAGAAAATACAGATTTTATTAGATTAAAAGTTATAAGGAGAAAATCATAATCAGAAATGCATTTGATAAAATGTTGTAAGCATTCTTTATATCAATAAAAAATTTAAAAATATGAATGGTCTCTTAATTTTGTGAGATAAATTTATCTAAGCCTCAGAGGCAGCACCAAGACATCTGAGGGCATTCCCACTGAAGTTAGGAAATAAACAAAGATGTACACTTATTACTTAACTTTAGTCTGAGTGTCCTATTCAATTCAAAGACAAACGAAGGACCTTAGGACTGTAGAAGTTCAAAATGAGGTAAAACTATCAGTTTGTAGGTGAATTATATAATTACACTTTACTGTATGTTGTGTATACCTAACAGAATTATCCAAAGATCTACTGCAAATAAGAGAATTTACTAAGTTAATGGGATACAAAGTTAACATACAGACATCAACAGACAAATCAAAGAAATAACCTTAATTATAATTATAATGTTAGCCAAATGGATAAAATATCTAAAGATAAAAGAAAAAGATCTATTGGGGAAAACTTTAAAAACTAAGAACCCAAAAGTAGACTTGAACAAATGGAAAGGAGCACCATGTTCCTGGATAGACTCAATATCATAAAAGTATTCATTTTCCTTAAATTAACATGTAATTTAATTCAGTCCTTATGAAAACACCATCAGATTTTTTTAGAGCCAAATTGATTTTGAAATTTATATAAGGAAGTAAATGAACAAGAAGAGCTCAGAAAATACCGAAAAGCATTGCAATGATGGAGAGAAGGAAACTTATCCTACTAGAACTTACAATATATTTTAAAGACTTTTAAAAAGACTTTGTTATTAAACTAATGTGGTAATAGTGAGTGAATAGATAGCTACATGGAACAGAATAAAAAATCCAGAAATGTACCCATATATACCCCAAAACTAGATAGGAATTACAAATGGCATTTCAGAGAATGCTAAGAAATGCACATTAAGACTATAATAAAATACACTTTTAAAGCCAATGAATTGACAAAAATCCAAAATTTTCACGACACACCCAAACTTGCTGGGGATAATATAAATTGATTCAATCACTCGAAGCCAATTTGCTAATGCTAATTACAGTTACACATGCACATACCCTTTGACTCAGGGATTCCTTTTTTGAGGTTTTCTCTAACAGATATGCATACACGCAAAGAGTGGCAGGTATAGATAAGGTTATTTACTGCAGCATTGTTTTTCACTGTTAGCCATAGGGGACTGGGTAAAGAGTTCAGAGAAAGCCTATACTGGGACACAATGCAGGAGAAAGAAAAAAAATAAGGGAGGTCACTATGCATTGATGTGAAGGGTCTTCAAGATATTTGTCAAGTGAAAAACTTAAAAGATATTTGTGAAGTAAAAATAAGCAAGGCATACATACATATATATATATATATATATATATATATATATATATATCATGGTACTTTGTGTAAAATAATAGAGGAAATCCATATTTGAGTTACTTGTGTATGCATAATCGCTAGACGGATATAGAAGAAACGAGGCATGGAAGATATGGGAATTAGGCAGGAAATAGATGAATACTCTATACCTTTGTTGTTGTTTTTTTATTTCTGAACCATGTGATTTTTTTCCCTATTCAATAAGTAAGTAAATAAATAAGCGTATCGTCATATGGTGATATACTGTGTGTATTTATGTATATATAAAGAGTATATGCTATATGCACACACAAAGAATAAGGATGCTCTCTAGTTTTGATAGAGAAAAATCTCCAAGGATGTTAAGTGACTAAAAGAAGGTATGGAATGCCATATACAACATTCTGCTTTTTGTCAAAAAAGAAGGAAATTAAGGTGATGTGCTTGATTTTGCTTGTATATGCATAAAGATGCTCAGGAAGGATACTCAAGTTGGTGAGCATTGTGATATGCCCCCAGTTCCCCTCCAGACGCCCTTCAATAAATGACAGATTCCTTGTCTTAGCTGCTGAGAGGGCTGCTGGCAGATGGCCTTCAGCTGACAACCCCTATGGAGCCTGATGGCCTCTTTGGAGGAGGGCCACCTCATCGAAGGCCATGCATGCCCCCTTCCTGGGTGGTCCTTACCGTGGGAATGATGAACATGGGCCAACCCCCAAGCTGGGCAACTCTGAACGGCCATCCTTGTTTTAGAAATTCCCTTCCTTCATGTCACATGGCAGTTTAGCTTCTCTTTCTGCTGTCCATTCCCTTTTATAGGAAGAGAACACACCCAATAAACTTTCTTGCTAAGAGTCTGCTTTCTGGGGAACCCAAAGTGTAACAAGAAACCAAAATCAGTGACTTGAGTGGCTGGATAAGGCTGGGAATATGGTGAATGGGAATAAACTTGGAAAGAAGACTTTTCACTCTATGCCTTTTTCTAACTAAAAAAAAAAATTTTGAGCCATGTGGATATATTCCATATTTAATTCATAAATAAAAAAATTAAATATAACTTAATATGCCAGTAATATTTTATGCCTTTCCACATGTATTTTTCAAAAATGTCCTTTATGTTTTAATTTCGAGGTTTTTTTAAATCCAAAATACTGTGCCCTGCCACACTCTAAACATGCTTTTCTTTTCTGTTTGTTTTTGTTTAAGACCCTCAGAGAAGCGTCTTGATCTCCTCGCCATGGAAATTAAGAAGTCACCTGATGGCGGATGGGGCTGGGTGATTGTGGTTGTCTCCTTCTTCACTCAGTTTCTGTGTTACGGATCCCCGGTAGCAGTTGGGGTCTTGTACATAGAATGGCTGGATGCCTTTGGTGAAGGAAAAGGAAAAACAGCCTGGGTTGGGTCCCTCGCAAGTGGAGTTGGATTGCTTGCAAGTAAGTGGATTAAATTTTTCTCGCTCATTACTCATTTGATTATATTTGTTGCATCCTTACACTGTACAAAGCATAGTAGGCTATTTGTCTTTAAAGCATAATACATATTCTCTTGCCTTTGTTGAGATTATAGAATCACTCTCTCACTGTAATAAATTGAAAATACAGAAATTGCCTAGGATATTCATTCATTCATTCATTCATTCATTTCTTTATCTGTTTATTTGCTACTATGTGCAAGGCAGTGTGCTAGATGCTGAATATGAAAAGAAGGACAGCAAACACATCATTTCTGTCCTTAAGAGGCTCACAGTGTAGTGAGAGACATACTTTCATGAGTGAGAAAGATCCAGGGAAAAGACAGTAGTGACTAGGCTATGTCCAATGAATGCTGTGACCCAAGGACTAAATGATAAGCAGCGGTCCTGAAAGAAATTCATACATGGTTCATAATTATGTCTCTCTACTTCAGATCTAATCACATGTCCTACATTTGTGTCACCTCTACAAGAAAAATTTTACATGGCAAAGGGTAATCCCTTCTCACAATGATGGTGCTGTTCAGGATTTTAATATAGTGTTATTTATAAGATATATGTGATGTGTTTTGTGTGACCTTCATATAATGTCTTGAAAAGTAATACATTTGACAAGTGTTTCCATCTTATATAATGGTAATGCCTATCATCTTTACAGAGAACAGCAGAGAGGATTTCATTTTCATTTTAAGACTTAAAATTGTATGACACTTCAATTTCTGGAGTAATAGTTTCAACTCTGTGGTAATATTTAGTGATTATTACTGTAACTTTGTTGGCACAATTTACAGGTGATCTAGCGGTGCTAAAGCAATGATCTAAGTTCGGTCATTGGCCTAGGAGTCTCTCTCTTCCTCTGCTCTGAACTTGACCTGATTTGTTGTGCAAATCACAATCTCTATTCTTAGGGAGAAAGTAAGGACATCGAATGTGGAGATTTGTAAGGTGCTTTTCAGCTCTAAAATAATTTCATGAAAAAAATGAGTTAGCCATTCCTTTTTTAAAATATTGTTTTTCCTGAATCCTTAGGGGGACTTCTTAAAACAAAACAAAACAAAACAAAACAAAACAAAACAAAACAAAACAAAAGTAGTTACTTCCAGCTGATGCTTTACTACCATGAATGTGCATGATCTCATCTGAAAGGGTTTTTCAAAATGTGAACTGTTTGTAAAACTGCAAGGTACAAACGGATGATCATTGATATGTTAATAAAGGAGGTTGAAAGTATTGCTTTTGAGAAAATGATCTAATGTGAAGGGGAGAGAATGTTTTTAATGTTCTCCAGTTGGTCATCATTTCTGTCAGCAAATAAGTTACATCTAAATGTAAATACACTGATGGTCAGAGCTGATACCGAGACTCTGAAAACTGGATTGCAGTTCTATACTTTCTTTAAGTTCATTTTGTCTCAAGGGCCAGGAACAGTCTCCTTTCTTGTAGGTAAGATTGGCTGCATAAGATTGGCCCCAGTGCAAAAAAGGAAAAGAGAAGCAGGGCCCCTTGTTAAAAAAAAATTGAGAATTCAAGACAGCAACAGAACATGCAGTTCATTGAGTGTGTGGCCCTGTTGCTAAGGGCTCAGCCCTGTGCAACTGCATAGACCACAGCCTTGTGAAGCCAGCCCTGCCTGAGGTTAGACGGAGAGAACATCCCACTGAAGTTTAGGGGAGACAACAAGTACTAGGAGGTGAGAGGCATTGGTCTTAAGTCAAAGACGAAGTCAAGTCCTGGCTGTACTACTATTTAGCTGAGGGAACTTGTGCAAATCACTTAACTTTCATGTCATCAGCTACATGAGGAGGCACTTGGACCAGCTAATGAAAGCTTTCGAAGATAAGCATAGAATAAGGAGACCAAGGGTTCAAGAATGAGGAAATGGTGAGAAATGAAGAGCTAGCACTTATATGTGTGTGCTCTTGGTTAATGTCCACCCAACAGATGTGTTGTTGGCTTCCCTTGTCTCTTCGTAGCATGAATTAAAGGACAAATCCTGAAAATGATGGTCATGTAGTATTAGCAATGACCCTTAGGCATTGTGTGTCAGTCAGTCTATGACAGCGCCCAGATATGGGAATTTTTTTAATCCCCAAAAGTGATTTCAGTTGGGAAATATGACCGGTTTCAGCGCCCTCTATTTAGATTTTAATATTTGCTTTTTGATAATTCCTTGTTGCACGATTTGGTTAGACTTTTTCATAAAGGGAATTACTGTATGTTTCTGCTTGTGTGTGGCACTGTTTGTACCATGTAAATCATAGAAAATAAATGATAGAACAGTCCTTTTCCTGGTGGGGCTCTGCTAAAAAATGCATGTAAATGGACATTTTTGCATCCTTTTTGATAAAATATAATGCATACATGTGTGTATACATGTGTGTCCGTATGTATATATCTTTTTGATAGAAGATGAGCCTTACATATATGTGTAAAATATATACAGTTGCTCTTAAATTCAGATGTGTGTATGCGTTACTCGAGCTTGTCTAAAAGCCAATTTGCTACCCATCCTTGAGTGGTGTGGCAATGCGGATGGGCCCCGGAATCTTTTTTTAACTAGTTCCCCAGGTGATTCTAATGTAGGCAGGCCAAATTGTGTCTGAGAAAAATGAGTTATTTTCTTAACTCAGTTTTGTCCTGGGAAGGCATGATAACTGCCATCTTTGACTAGTTCTATGATGTGACCGATGGAACTTTATAATTGATCAAGGCACAGCAGAATAATTACAATTGATAAGCAACATACAAATTCTGTTTTTTCTGTACTTGCCCCTTATGTTCACGAAGTGCCTGGCTCCATCCAGCCACTTTCACTTTCTTGATCTTAGTTGGTCCTGAAAACAGCGCACTGAGATGGTCATTATTGTCCTCAAAAGTTAGTGACCTACCCAATGGGAAGCCCACTCTCTAAGAGGACATGGCACCTGAGTCCCAGTTTTTCTAACCCGTTAAGCCTGTTCTTCATCTTTAAATTGGAGATCATAAAAGTACCTTATATGATTGTTGCACAGAACAGTTGAGATGCTACTTGGCACATGGTAAGTGCTCAACAAACATTGGTTATTAGAAGACCAGAATCAGTAACAAATAAAATTAGTTTCCTAAGCAGTGCTAAAGAATCTACAAACAAAAGGATCCCTTCAGGATGAAAGAAGAAGGCATTTCTAGGGGGGTGGACAGGAGGGAGAGCTAGAACTTTGTCAAGATTGTGTCTAAATAGATGGAATTTAAAGGCCCAACGCTTGTCTCCGACAAACCTAGATTTGGACAGTAGCTCGGAGTAGCATATTAAAACTCTGAAAAGACATGCAATTCTAAACTTTACATTCTTCATAATCTCAATTCCTTCTCTTTGAAGCTTGAGTAATTAAGGAGAATATACTTCTTCCTCTGGCCTAAATTGTTGGTGCAGATGATCCTTGGGATGCATAAAGCTGAGTATCAAGCAGCCTACCTTCCTGGGTTTTACATTGAGAACAAGCTCGCCATCATTATATCTAACCATACAGTCTCCTCTCCCCTGTGCCAGGGATGCTACAATAGAAGGCATCATCTGCTTTTCAGGGGATTTGTAGTCTCATAGAAGAGACAGAAAAAATAGTTACTGATAATTTGAGATGTCCCAAATACCGAGGAGAATTTCAAGGACGAGGCAATTTTGGCGTTTCGTAGAGATAGGTGGGACATGTGGGAGGATGGGCTGTGTGAGGTGGATGGTTGTGGAGAGGGCAGGTCACCCAGAGTCCTTGTCTGCAAAGGCTTGGACTCTGCACTGCAGACGATGCATTCTGGTGGAGGCAATTTGTCTGGGGAAGCAGAGATTGTGACTGTTGGGAGGTGTGATGGTCAGTGTCAACGTGGCTAGGCAACATTCCCAGTTAGTCAAACACTGATGCAAGTGTTGCTGTGAAGGTATTTTGTAGGTGTGCTCAAACTCCATAATCAGTTGACTTTAAGAAATGCCAGTTATCCTACGTAATCTGGGTGGACCCAGTTCAGTCTGGAGAAAGGACAAAAAAGAAGAGATGAGCTTTTCCAGAAGAACTTATGCCTGTGGGCTGTAACTTCAGCCTGTGTCAGTGAGTTGTGATCTGCCTTTGCCTGCATCTTGCACTGTGGATGTTGTATTTGCCTAGCCAGATCCCACAATCGCATAAGTCAGTTCCTTGTAATAAATCTCTTAATAGATATATGTCTTCTTCTGGTTCTGTTTCTCTGGCTGAAACCTGAATGATACAGAAGGAATGAAAGGTAATTGAAATAGTTAGAGAAGGGTGGGGCTGTCTTCCAGACAACTGAGTTGCTGAAATTTCAGGGAGATCTTTTGTTTCTCCAAAGGCCCTCAAATTACTGAGTCAGTAAATTTATCCCTAGGTTAATCTGGTGAGTCAGTATGGCCAGCAGGCTTGCTGAATGAGCTGTGAATGATGGCAGAACTGGGTATGATCATATCTTTATGATTTTATGCCCAAGCACTGTTACCTCTTTCAAGCAGGACTGGAATTCTGCCTCCTACAAGGATTCTGTTCCAGTGGCCAGTTCACAGTGTGTTAGGCAGTTCAGAATTGGAGAGAAGTATGGCAGGTTTTAGTTAAGCTTTTCTCCATCTCTGTAGAATTCTGCCAAATCAACCAACAAGCAAGGCAGATAATACTACACGTGGAATCAAGGATTTGAATAGATGAGGCTCATTAGTGCTTTTCTCTTCCCCAGGGAGATGATGGATTTAAAATTCCTAGTCTCAGGGAGGAGGGACTGAGGAACCTGCTCTTTTGTTTGGCTCCCTGCACTGTAGGTGAAGGGGTAGGATTCTCATGGGCCCACTCTACTCTGCTGGGACATCCTTGTTCCGTTGGAGTCACACGACCTGGTTACTGCTGTGTTTTATTTTTCGCCCTGCTGTCAGCCTACTTACGGCTTCAGTGCAGCAGGCCTGGCCATCCTAACACTTTTGGGACTCCG